TTCCTCCCTCCTCATGCTTCTTTCCTCTTCTTTAACAGATTCCAACCACTTTCACTCCATCTTCTTTTTATCTTTCCTCTAGAGTCCACATACGAAATAACATCGTGATATTTATCCGAGTCTGGCTCACTTTGCTTATAGGGCGTCTTCCAGGCCAATCCATTTTCCTACACATGGTATGATTTTTATTCTTCGTTGCTCAACAACGCCGTGTTGTTTATCCGTCCATCTGTGGATTCCGTAACCGCAATATGGTGAATCGTGTCACAGTAAGTGCGGGTGTTGTAAGACTCTACTGTACTGCTGACTTTGAAGTCTCTGGGGATACACCCAGGAGCAGTATAGCTGACTAGTGCCATAGTTCTATTTTTAGTGTCTTGAGGAACCTCCCACTGGTTCACAGTGGCTGATGTACTTTACATTCTAGCCCCCAGTGTAGAAGGCTTCCTCTTACCCCCACCTCCCATAGTTTTCAGGATTTGTTGCTATTTGTTTTCTATAATTTTTAAGTTATTGCTGGGACGTGTGCAATTCTTAATATTGCAAGAATATGTATCTTTGAGGATTTGTTTTTAATTATGTATATGTGAGTGGAGGTGCCCAGAGGCCAGGAAAAGGCATCAGATCCCTAGGAGTTGGTGTCAGAAGATGTTGTGAGCTATCCAGTGAGCTGTGAGCTTAACTTTGGTCTTTGGAAGAACAGTGTGCATTCTTGACTACTGAGCCGTGTTTCCAGCCCTGCCCCATCCCTCTGTTTTCCTTATGACAGCTATATCTAAGGGTGAGATGAAATCTCAGTTTTGATTTGCATTTCCCTGACACTGAAAGAATCTGGGCATTTCTTTAGGGCAGTGATTCTCAATCTCCCCAATGTTGTGATCCTTTAAGACACATTGAGGATCCTTTAATCCTCACATTGTGGGGACCCCCAACCATAAAATTATTTTCCTTACAACCTCATAACTGTAGTTTTTAATATATGCATTGTAATGTAGATATCTGATTATGCAGGGGATCTGATATGTGATCCCTGTGAAAGGGTCATTCTATTTCTGAAAGGGTCATGACCCACAAGTTGAGAACCACTGCTTAGATGATTATCGTCAGTTTGTGCTTCTTTTGAGAAGTGTTTGCTCAGTTCATGTGCCTGTTGCTGGTTGACTCATTTGGTTGTGTAGTATTGTATCTCCTTAACTCTTTATATATTGTGAATCTTTAAGGCTCTGTCAGTTGAATAGCTAGGAAAAATTTCCCCCCCCACTTTGTAAGCTGTCTCTTCGATCTGCTATATTTTCTGTTGTGCAGAAACTATTTAACTTATGTAACCCTAGTGACCAGTTCTAATATTATTTCCTATGTTACTGGAGTTCTAGTTAGGAAAAGTTTTCCTGTGCCAAAATCTTGATGTGTTTACTATTTCCCTGTAGCACTTTCAGAATTTCAAGTTGTACATTAAGATATTTGATCCATTTAGTTGATTTTTGTACAGGGTAAGAGTATGAATCTAGCTGGGCTGTAGTGGCGCATGCCTTTAATCCCAGCACTTGGGAGGCAGAGGCAGGCGGATTTCTGAGTTTGAGGCCAGCCTGGTCTACAGAGTAAGTTCCAGGACAGCCAGGGCTACACAGAGAAACCCTGTCTCGAAAAACCAAAAAAAAAGTAAAAAAAAAAAAAAAAAGAGTATGGATCTAGATCCCACCTTCTACATGAGGATATGTAGTTTTTTCTACCAGTGAGTTGAAGAGATATGTTTTCTCCAGTGTGTGTTTTGAGCACCTCTGTCTACAGATGGACAAGTGACTGTGGATGGGTGAGTTTATTTCTTCATTCTATTATGTTGTTCTAAATGTCTAATTTTGTGCCTGTACCACACCAGTTTTGTTATTATGACTACAGAATTATACTATAGTATGATTTGAAGTCCAGGGGGTGAAATGACTGTTTTCTTTTTCTCTCAGAATTGCTTTGTCTGAGTATTTTATTTATCTTTGGGTATTTTATGCTGCAATATGCGTCTCAGGATTGTTCTTTCTAGTTCTATTGTGAACTTTGTGAGTTTTGAAGGGTTTTGTAGACCCTCCATATTGTACTTGCTAGTATGATTGTTCTAACAATAGTAATTTCGCCCATCCATGGACATCTGATACCTTTCTGTCTTCAATTCTTAAAAACCTTCCTTCCCTCTCTTCTCTGTTTTATAGTTTTACCAGCAGAGATCTTCCATCTCTTTGGAAATGTTGATTCTTAAGTATTTTATGTTAAAGAGGAAAACTGTTCATAATGGGGCCTTTAACCGTTCTCAGTAATTTCATGTCAGTATGTCTTAGAAGTTCCTGACTTGTAGGCTGACAGCATATTTTGCTGCTAACTTTGTCTAGCATTTGTAGCACCTGGTGAAGTGTTTATAGTCTTCCAGTCATAAGATCGTATCATCCCCAATCACATACACTTTAACTTCTTCCCTTTGTATTTGTACCCCCTTTCTCTTGGTTCTCTTGCCTGATTTCTCTGACTGAATCTTTTTTTTTAATAGTTTTTTACTTTATTTATTTATTTATTTATTTATTATTTTACTTATCACTTTATATCTTGTTCACTGTCCCCTTCCCAGTCACCCCCTCCCACAATCCTTCCCTCTATCCCCTTCTCTGTATGAGTAGAGGAGAGGCCCTCTAGATATTCCCCTACCCTGACTCATCAAGTCTCCATGAGTCTAGGTGACTTTTCTCCTGCTGAGGCCAGACGAGGCAGCTCAGCTAGTAGAACATATCCCACATACAGGCAACAGCTTTTGGGATAGCCCCCACTCCAGTTGTTTGGGACCCTCATGAAGACCAAGCTGCATATCTGCTACATGTGTGGGGGAAGGCCTAGGTTCAGCTCGTGTCTGTTCTTTAGTTGGTGGTTCAGACTCTGAGAGCCCCAAGGGTCCAGGTTAGTTGGTCTTCCTGTGGAGTTCCTATCCCCTTTGGGGCTGCACTCCTTCCTCCTAATCTTCCATAAGAGTCCCCAAACTCCACTCACTTTTTGGCTGTGGGTGTCTCTAACTGATTTCTAACTATGCAATAGCTTCTAAGTGTACAATGCCACAGCACTAAATGGATTGGCACTAATGGGCAGGCATCACTGTTTCCATATCTGCAACCTTCCACCATTGCAAACCGAGAGTCTATAACCATCAGATAGCTCTACCACTGTTGGCCCATCTATAACAATTTTCCTGTGCATACACCTTATATCGGTGGGATCATATAATATTAGCTCTTACTATGCCCTTTACTCTGCCTGTCCTCTGCAGCTGAGACACAGCCCTGCTGCTGGGAGAGAAGGAAGCAGCAATGGAGGCTGGGACAGACAGTCGGACTTGCCCTCCATCATGGAGCTAATTCTAGGAAAGATCAGGCCTGGTTTAGTACATGTAATATGTTTTCAAGATTTATCCCTGTATTAGTGCATGTTTTAAGGAAGCATGTTATCCCACACATAGAAATGGAGAGACACAACCATGTATATACCCACAGACAGTTTGTTCAGCTAACTCAACGATTGCTGGACATTTTAAGTTCTCCCATCTTTTGGCTGCTGTGAATGATGCTGTTGGGAACATGGTAGAAGGAATCTGCTTGCATCTCTCTCTAATTCTTCTGGGTAACTGGGAGTGGAATTGCTGGATCATATGTTCACTGCTAGATTCTATATTTAACTTTCTGGGGACCTGCCAAACTGTTCTCCAAGCAGCTGCAGCATTTTACATTCTGGCCCCCGATGCACAGCCTCTCTACACTCTCCAGACCAGTTGTTGTTTTCCGTTTTCTTTTTCTCTTTTGAAAACAGCCATCCTAGTAGGTAGGAAACAGCAGCCCCATTTGTTTGGAAGGATATCAGAAACCACTTCCTGTGCTGAGCTACCTACCCAAGAGTAGGTAAGGTGGGCTGCCTACAGCTGGACCCCTCCTAGCACAGTAAGAATCAGACACCTGCAAGTTGTTATTGCAAGGCCTTCCTACAAATAGAGCAGTTTTCCAGTGAGGACCTGGGTCCTGCAGCTGGGAACTTAGACAGTGACAATGTTGCCTATCTAGTCAATTATCGATCCACTTATTCTTCCTCTCGTCTGTGAGGCTACGTTTATTGAGCACCTATTTAGGGGGGTACAAAGAAGCAGGGAGAGATTGTATTAAATATATTAGCAAGCTCATTCCCTAGGTTTTCCCAAAAGAAACCTCAGAATGCTCTTGTCCAATACTTGCACTGTTCATGACTGTTTTCTAAACCTAAAGAGATAGGAATAGGTCCCAGGCTTCCAAATCAACAATTGGTCAGAAAGGATCTAGCCTACGCCAGGAGAAAAAGCCCTTCCACATCTTGAGTGGGGGAGGAGGAGTTTCAAACAAGGGCAAGCATTTGCCAGGAGGTGCTCTTTTACTTACAGCTCACTCCACAGTCCAGCCACTCGGTCAGTCAGTGAGATTTGATGCAATAAAGCAAGTGTACTAGACCTGATTAGATAAGCCCAGGTCCCTTCCACTGTGATAACCTCTCACAGAAAAAAACGTGACACACAGGTCTCTTGTAAAGAGAGATACCACTGACTTGGAATTTGAGAGCTGTGCACAAGTGTATTTGATTTCACTCTGGGAAAATTCCAAAGGACAAAATTTGGAGGATTTATGAATACCATAATGTGTGTGCAATTGGATTTCATCGAGAGACACAGGCTCATTTTCCGGCTCATGCTGGGATCTTTCAATTATATTAAGGGGCAAAGAGAGAGAAATGGGAACAGTGGCCAGAGTGTAATTTAGAGATAGAATTTCTACATCTGTTTATTTTCCTCTGGTTAGTGCTCAGACCTGCAGTAAACCGTACTGACAGGCAGTACCATTCCCTAATGTCCTGGTAGCTTCTAGAATGTCTAGGCACAGTCCAAAGCCACACAAAGGAAGAAGAAAGGCCCCGCCCACTGCTATCAGGGAGAGAGTTCTCCTAGAGCTGGGTGGGGATCTGCAAGAATTTTCTCTATCTTTGCATGAGCCATCGGGACATCTGAGATGACAGCTGGAACATAAGATTAAGTACGATTGCACTGCGTTCCCTGTAACTTGGATGCCAACGATCTCGGCTTCCCATCTCGCCTGTAATCCTGATGCTTTATCTCATCACATATTTTACCGTCATTTTATGTACCTGGGAGTACTTTGCAGACGTAATTAATGTCTTCAATATATGTAAGGACTTTTGCGTAAAGATTAGTATGCTCAGAAAGATTTTTTTTCAGAGTACTCCAGGACCTTGGCAATGTGCTAGGACCTTGAAAGGAAGCAGAGGGCTGGAGATTAGCCATCAACTTACATCCAGGGTAAGTGCACGACACAGCTCTCTCTGTGTATCCTGGCTCAGGGCCCCGTTTGGAAGCCTCTCCCAACACTGGCATCTTCTCACTGTCCCTTTCTTATCAATCTGGATCTGTCACTCCAGTGGTCTCTGCCTGGCTTCCAAATACAGCCCTGCCCAGCATCTTCATGTCAAACTGGTCCCATCATTTTAATCCTGGCTCTGAATGATCTCACAACAAAGACCTGGATGCCATCCTCTTCATATAACAGAGCCTACACATTTTAGAAATATTTGCAACACACAGACATTTTAACATAATTAGTAAGCCATCGGCTAAGCTTAGTATTAAATGAAACACAATCCTGATGAAAAAACACCCAGCCGATTGAGATTACTGTCTTTCAACTAATTCAGGATTCAGCAGGCTTAGTAGAAAAGAGAAGCAGCCACATGAAAGCAATGGGTAAACAGATCTCACAGGGGAGTCTGAGATTGCATAATGCAGTCTAACTGGGGGTCTGATGCTTGCTGTCTCTTTCAGGATCTGGAGCAAAGGGAGCAGTTATCTAGTTCAGCCAGTTTGTAGCCTGCAAAGGCAGGTGTGGCCCAATCACTGAACCGATGCAGAAGAGCTGAGACCAGGGCAGATCTGAGAGGGATTTCACATGCCTTCGGAAATTTCTGTCCCTACCTGAAATAGAATTGAATCACTTGGGAGCTTGTGACAGGTAGGAAGAACTTGGGGGTGCCCTCTTAGGCTGCACAGGCAGGCCTCTTTTGGTTTTGCTTCTCAAGATTCCACCCTGGACCTGGAAAACTGAGTCCTGTGACATCGATATGAGGAGTAGCTTTTGGTATCCAATTTAAAACTGTTTGTTTCTGTGCATCTGAGAAGAGCATATTTTACAGCCTGAGAAAAGATCCAAGTGGTGCCTTTAGAAAGAAAGAGAATGGCTCAGAATAGCAGGAGGGTACTGGGGAATTGAACCCACAGCTTTGAACATGTATGAGGCAGGCACCTTGGTACACATAGCCACACACTGACATGCATAGGCACACACAAAGGCTACATGGAGCAGGGCACACAGGACTACCGACTCATTTAGGCAAGCTGATCTGAAGGTTAAGGCTCAGGCCTCTGACCTCTAGGGCATATTTCTACAGAATCATGCAAAAATGGCACTTGTCAGGAATAATTACCCAACAGATTACATCATTCTTTACTTTGGGGGTTCCCTGGACATCTCCTATTAGCCATTTAGTGCTGGTTCAGGGCCTCCCTGCCCCAGCCCTCATGTCCTAAGTCAGCCATATTTTAGCTGACTCATACCTGATATTTATATCAGCACCATGTGGACTAAACATAAATTGGCCCTGACATCCTCCTGTTCTTAGACTATGTGGGGCATGTGTTCTCCACTGAGTGGTATGGCAGCCCCCTGATGGTTTTTCCCCTGTGTTTGTGTTTCACTAGGAGGACCCTCATTCAAGAGATTCTCCTCTCACTCTGCCAGTCTCTGTCAGCCTCTGTCCTTGCTCACAGTCTTGGGAGCAAGTCTGGTTACATTCCTGGGAGCTGCCTGGTTGGAGCATGGAAAGAAGCATCTGGATGAGTTGGCTCAGTGTGGGTTAGTTCCCTCTTGCTGTGGGTCAGCCTTCAGGCAGAGCGGGCCACGTCCTGCTGCCCAAGCCTTGAAAAGGGACAGAGCTCTGTGAAAGGATTGGTAAGCTCTGGCTTTGCCTAGAACTGTACTGATCCTTAAGGGGTGACATATTGGACTGTAGATCTAAAGCCACACTCAACGAGTTGGCGGAGTATTAATAAAGCCGACATTGCTGATTTCCAGCTGTTGGCTACTTGCATTTTCTTTCTGTATTTTGAACTCAAACAGTGGGAATGAGTGTTGTACATGAGCCCTCTAAATCCCAAGCAGCTTCCGAATCATTCTGCAAACTAGTGCAGGCATACGCAATATGCAGTTCTTGAACTCCTAACACACCATGCTAGATTATGTGACCTGGGAGGACTTCCTGGCTTCTTCTCACCGAGGGACATTATGTCACTGCTGAAGCTGCTGTGGATTATGGCCACATCTCTGCTAATAAGGGTATAAGTTTCACATTACCCGGACAAGACAGACTTCAGAGCCTTGTCCTCTGCAGAAAATCCAGGACTCTCTGGTCCCGCCCTCTTTGTGAGATACCTGTCCTGGTTTCTGTTCAAGCCCAGTGAGCTGGTTACCTTAAGCCTCAATGCTGGAGCTTCGGTCTGCCCAGGAGGACAGGCAGGCAGCTTATGAAACAAGTATCTTCTGGCTTGAAACTCAGCACCAAGGAAACAAGTCTGATTCTTAAACCAGGTCACTGGTGAGTAAGATAATCACAGCATAGCATTTTTAAATATCTCCTCAGCGGGTGCCACAGACTTGTTTTCTTCTCATGCAAGAAGGAGAAGCTGTTGGCTCTTTTGACAGATATCACATCTGGAGCTCTGTTAAAGATAAGAGTTTTGAGGGGCTGGAGAGATGGCTCAGAGGTTAACAGCACTGGCTGTTCTCCCAGAGGACCCTGGTTCAATCCCCTGCACCCACATGGCAGCTTACAACTGTTTATAACTCCAATTCCCCAGAGATCTGACACCCTCGCACAGACCTGAATACGGGCAAAACACCGAGGCACATAATATACAAATAAATCTTAAAATTTGACTGCCAAGTGTGCACCCCTCCCCACATGATGGCATGCCCCGTTTACATGAACCTTCTGATGCCAGAATCTGCTATCTACTCCTTCAGATGTTGAGGCTGGGGAGTTCCCGGGGAATATCTGGTCTCTGGCAATGAGAGTTGCCAAGAGATTCAGAAAACATGGAAGTTTAAATAGAAATGCATGAAAGGGTTTCCAGAAGAACTTGTGCCAGGGGTGCTAGGTGTACAGGTGCCCCACAGGGTGATTTGGGGAAGCCAGCTGGGTAACAAACATTTCCTCAAGGAGTGGCCCTACAAGGTGATTTTGGCAAGGTTATATTTGACCATCTGATTGGGAGGCTTAGCCCCATTTGTCAAGAGAATAGATACTTCTTTTAGTAAAGAACCTACTTCAGCTCTGTAGTCACAGAGATTCCTGGAACTGGAGTGGAGAAATAGATCAGCTACTGAATGAACATGGCTGATGTGTGAAGAAGGTAAGATGATTATCCCATGATGCCTCAAGTTCTGTGGCTGGCAGTCATTTTGTAGGTAGCCATATTGTCCAGGCTAGGGTTCGTATGGCTGTGATAAAACACAATGACCAAAAACAAGTTGGGGAGAAAAGGGTTTATGTCTTTTACTTCCATATTGGAGTCCATCACCATAGGGTGTCAGGACAGGAACTCAAGCAGAACAGGAACTTGGAGGCAGGAGCTGATGCAGAGGCTATGGAGGGGTGCTGCTTACTGGCTTGCTCCATGAGGTTTGCTCTGCCTGGGATGGCACCAGGCACAATGGGCTGGGGCCTCCTCCATTAATCACTAATTTAAAACATACCCCACAGCCTGATCTTATGGAGGCATTTTCTCATTCAACGTTCCCTCCTTTCAGATGATTCTAGCTTGTGTCAAGTTCACATAAAAACAAGCCAGCACACATATTCGCCCCCCTCCGCCCACCTTCAGTGTATATACATCCAACTGGACGTGGGTGGGGGTCAGAGGACTACGTTTAGAAGTCACATCTCACCTTCCGCCTTGTTGAGGCAGGGTCTCTTGTTTCTGATGCTGTGCTGGGCACTCTGTGAGCATCCATCAGTTCCCCTATGTCTGCCTCCTGTCTCACTGTGGAAGCGCTGGTATTGTAGATGGACACCATCATTTGGCATTTTACTTGGGTTCTGGGCATCAAATTAGTGTTGCCAGGCTTCCTCCATCAGTACCATTTCCTACTCCACCATCTCGCCAGCACCCATACTTCTTCCTAAGTCCCCGTGACTACTGTGTCCCTTGGAGTCTAAATGCTTTTCCTCTCAGGTAATTCTGCTTCTCCTGTCTTGATCTAATACAGGGAATGTTTTATACTTCAACTTCAATCCCAGACTATCTGGGCAGCTTTGAGAAACCCAGTTTAACAGCCACCCCCAAAGAGGGAAGAAACCATCAGAAGCATCCTTAAATGCCTCCACTGACTTGGCAAACTGTGATCACAAAGCTCTCTCAGCATCCTCTTTGGTTACAAATGTCACAGCCTCCATCACCTCCTTTGGCCTCCATGACATATCCCAAGCTCCTCCTCCCTCCTTAAGGAAACTGTGCCAGACACACTGTGCATGCACCTCAAACTGATGTCTCATATCCTACAATACTTTCAAGTATCTGTGATAAAACATAACTTAAGGTATTAATTGGATATTTTTTAGTATTGATAGTATTAATAAATTATCAGTTGTTGTATGTCCTTTTTCATCAACTAAACTAGAAAATATGTTTCTCTAACTCTCCCCACTCCCTCATGTCTGGTATATTGAAAACACGTGAAAATATTGGATAGAAAAATGTATATTCATAACCCTGTGAGCCAGTCATACCAGGACTTGGGGAGCTGAAGCAGAGGATTGCCGTGAGTTCATGGCCAGCCTAGGCTTTGGCTTCTCCCAATATCACCCATGTTTTCTAGGTATCTCTATTTTTCTTCCTAGGAAATCTTCCCCATCCACTATGGCTCACATGGGTTTCTTCTGCCTTTCATGACTACCCATGTCCCCCCCCCCCCCCCGCCCCGAGTCACATAGCCATCACTGAATCATGTTCTGTCTGAGAATTCACACACTGATTCACACACGAAAGTCCTAGTTTCACATCTATAGCCAGGGGCTTCTGAGTTGGCACGAGGCACATCCCCATAACAGACTCTGACCACACAAGTCTTAACCAGTCTTCATTGTTGACCCAAAAGCCACACTGGACAAAAAAACCTGAAGATCTCCTTTCCCACCGTGGCCACTGTTATCTGTTGAAAGGCAGACTTCTACGTCAGAGATACCTGAATGTGAGCCTTGGGCTGTCACTTATAAGGTTCCTGCAGGCAACACTTCACCTGAGCCACCAATGGGCAATAAGGAGAAGAATAAGATCACCGTGCAGAGAGATATCGTCTGGAATGTGGAATAGGGGATATGAATGGATTCTCTGGAATCACGCTATGTGACCTAGTAACTTTGTTCCCTAAGCTAGTCTTCTTATCTGCCCAACAGCGGTGTGGGGTGGCCTCATGGGCTTTCCATAGAAATACAGTCAGATAACAAGTCTGATGTGTGATGGTTGTCAGAAGTGACGTCAGTCATTGGCACACAGGAAGTACTCAGTCAACATTACCGAGCAGGGAGTTTTGGGTGTCTTTGTTTCTTTTTCAGTTGATCAGCTCTTCCTCCACATCTGTCTCTACAGAGCACAAGGCTGCAGCCACGTCAAATTCTTCTCATGGCGTCCAAGGCTGGCCAAGAAAACAGGTCTCAGAGTCTCCAGTGACATAACCCTCTCTCAGTCATCCGACCACAAGTCATACCATGTCCAGCTCCATTAATCCTACAGAAGGGCTGTGATAAATTCTTACTTGAGAGGAATATGTAACAATTTAAATGTCATAAAAATCTACGAGCATCCTCCTGTAGCAGGAATTTTGACAACAGCTCCTCCCCCAAAGCCCAGTGTGGAAGATGGCTATGGTGAAGTAGAACTCAGCTCTCCAAGAGAAAGTCACTCAAAATCCCATAGCTTCAAAGACTGAGCCTAGGGGAGAGGGTGGGGGGCACTAACAGTCTTCTTGGTCATTAGGTGGATCCAGGTAATTCTTCAGAGGACGACAGGCTCTACAGTCTTTGGTCCTGACCTGATTCTAGACCATTCTATGACCTTTTAGTGCTTTACAGCATCCAGCCAACAGTGAAGTCTTCAAAGTGCTACACTCAAAGCCCTTGGGTTGAGCCCTGTGCTATTTAACATCTGAGATCTCCCTTCATCTTCTGTCTCTTCTGGTATGTTCCTTAATTAATACTGGAGCCATCCAAATTATGATTTTAATACAACTAAGCAGGTGCCATAATTTACCCCTCTAAGAGGCCTGAATTTCTGAAATGGTAAAGAGATTCTGCTGTATTCCATATGACGTTACTGCTTACTCCAGGTGAAGGGAGAAGAATCCGGTGGGTAGCTATTACTCTGTTTGGTGTCCACTCTCACCAATTTAGCGATCGGATTTTAGAGAATCGGGATCATTTACTTATGTCCAGGGCACAGCTGAAGAGAGGCTGTAATTGACTCTGCAGTAGGGAGAGGCAGCAAACTTGGTTATTACAGGGATGACTGTATGGCGCCCCATCGCTGAACATGAGAACTACAGGTCCAGCTGAAAGAGCTAATTATTGTTATTTTATTATTATTTAGATGTCAAACATGAACCCATGCTATGGTGGTTTAAGTGAGCTGTCCCCATAAGTCTCAGTCATTTGAAAACTTGATCCACAGTTGGTAGCTCTTCAGGAATGATTGGGAGGTATGGCTTTGCTGGAAGAAGTGTGTCACTGGCTTTGAAGTTTCAAAGGACTCATGTCATTTCAAGTCAGTTCTCTCTGCCACCAGCTTACAATCTGTAAGCTCCTAGCTGCTGTTGCAACCACCTGTTCCTTCCATCATGAACTCTGGAACCATAAACCCAAAGCAAACCCTTGCTTCTGTACGTTGCCTTGGCCACAGTGTTTTATCACAGCAATAGAAAAGCAACTAAGACACAAGCTTAGCTGTAGAACGAGGAAGGGCTCTAGATGACATTGAAACCACACGTACTCCAAAATGCATTTGCACATGCCTTGTGAAAG